AGAGAGGAAAACAAGAAGAAAAGGGACAAGAAGAGAGGGACAAAACCTAGAACAGATAATGGATGTCTATTCTATTAACATTTCTCTATCTGGAGAATGGGGCTGTTTTATGTGTTGTCTTCTCAAATCAGAGGCCCCCTGCCTGTCTTTGCCAAGGCCCCAATTTTCCTAAATCCGGCCCTGAATGCAGGGTTTATATTTTTATGTTTTTGCAAGTTTTTGTCATGGGAAAAAAAGTATTCAACTATTCACTCCAGTTAAATAAATGGAGATCGATGGATTTCACTCAGTCGGCGCTTTATTTTTATCCTTGCAAAGAGAGAACAGTTCATCATACGGCCCTTATTGCACGGTAATCAGCCCTGTTCTGATCTGGGCAGCATTAGTTCCCCCTTTTTTTTTTTGCAGCACTACTGGCTCTTTTTTTTTTCTGAGGTCAGATTCGAACCCGGGTCGTCCACATCAAGGACTAAGGCCTCCGTATATGGGTTGTGCGCACTAAACACTGCGTCATCTGCACGCCCAACTTACAGGAACTTTGGTTTAACAGTAACATGTAATGAATAAACCTTGAGAAAGAATCTGACTTGTTATGGTGAGAAGTATGTTTTGTCTACAAACACCCTGACTCAGGCATTGTGTGGCTTTGCAGGTAATACAGACTGAGTGAAAACGTTTATAGTGAGTAAATAGCATAAATCAATATATGAAACAAGAGAAATCCAAATTTTCCGACCACACAGAACGACTCCACTAAATACAGAAAATGCTGTGAAATCCAACAATCTCAGAGAAATAAGATTCCTTCTATCTCTGTCTTTGCTCTGTGGTCACAGGTTCGTCATTTGCAGCAGTCCAGGAAGAGGCACAGACCTCAGGAGCAGAGCCTAAGGCGAGTCCGCAGAACCAGCTCCCGCCGCTCTGCCTATGCCTTCTCCCACCAGCAGGGCTACGGAGAGCTGATCACCTCAGGCAAAAACATGAGAATGAGCGAAATATCTTCCACTCACTCCCTGGAGAGAACAGCACAAAGTTCCAGCTGGATAGAAAACATCCTTAAGCGGAAGAACGAAGTCTCGTGTATCTCAGCTGAAACACCAGAGAACCGTAAAGACTCAAAGGCATCAGCAAATAGACTGCAGTAACACAGGAAGTGCCTCAACAAAATATTCATACCCAATTGTCTTTTCACATTTTTTATTCTGCAAAGTCGTACATTATTGCATTTAATTGGAATTTTATAACGGCCCAAAACAAAGTGGTGCATAATTATCTCCACAGATTGTTTTATGGATTTAAATCTGAAACCGTGTGAATACATTTCTGTCCAGCCCTTATGGTCAAAACTTTATACAATTGCTTTTTATATTTCACTCATATATGATTTATAACATTTGTGCATCTGTGCACCTTCCTTCTTTTGCAAAAAAAAATTCAGCTCAATCACAATGGATTAAAAGCATATGTGCTGACCCCACAGCATAATGCTGCCACCACTATGCTTCACCTTGGGGATGGTGTGTTTTGGGTAACGTTATTGGAAGGTTTGTTAATGTTGTCAGGGTTTGGTTAAAGTTTTGAGTACCGAAATGCAGAGGTGAGGAGCCAGAGGTGACTCTTGTAGCAGAAGTTAGCAGAAGTGGCTACACAGCAGCTAGACCCGGTATCCCAAAGGATATATTTCGGCAGCAAAAGAAGGACTCCACACTCTGGTTGCGTTTGTGCTCTGAGAGAGGAGGGGCGGGGCACACCCGACCCACCTGAACTCGGCTTTTTATTAACCATACCATGTGACAAAACCAGTTCATACATCACTTCTATTTACAAATCTGTGAAATAAAACATTTATCAGAGCATAAACCTCAACAGTAGGAATCCAAGAATCCAACATAAAAATACAGAAAAAAACAGAACCATCAAGGAAAACATGCATGAGGAGCCAGGAAAAGACGAGGAACCGCACAGGTAGAGTATATATGGGAGACTGAACAAAGACAGGACTAATGAACTGATTGGGAGCAGGTGTGAACAGAGGTTTCTAGAAGGGAGCTAGGGGAATGGACACTGACACAAGAGGGCTTTTAATAACTCAAATATATCCAGAAAACACAAAGTAGTAGTTAAACCAATAAAACTAGAGAACAACGAAAAACATGGATGAAAGTGCAACTGAAAACTCAGAAAGAAAACTTAAACAGAACCAAGAATGTGACAATTGTACTCTCAACAAACCTCACAGACCTTCCCAGAACAGCTTTATTACTTTTAAAGTGGATTCCACTAACTAACCTCTGAATGCTGCACTACATACAGTAGCAGCCATTCAAAATGGCCGTTCCCAGTCAAACAGCAGCCGAATGGCAGCACACTTCCCTGCAACTCCCAGCAAAACCCCCTCCAACTTCCAGCCACTGGCCTTCACCTGGGCGTGGATATTTTTTACTGACTCCACCCTTTCACTAAATTACAGGGTCTGACCAGGAGATGATGTTTCTCTTTAGATCTTAATGTCAACAAATAATGTCAGAAAGAATATTTTAGTACAAAGATGGATGTTTATAAAGGAACTGTAGGGGAGCAGCCAAGGAAAGTAGGGATATTTTGAATGGCTACTACAGTATGGTGGGTGGATAAGATTAGGGCCCACACCTTTTACAGTTTTCCTTTTTCATGTATTTAAATTTGAATAGTTTCTCTTTACCATTTTGTGTCGTTCTAAAAAATGTGAAGAAGTTCTGAGGGTTTGAATATTTTGATGGGACCATTTGCATGGATCTGATAAACTAAGCACAAGCTTTGAATTTTTTTCATTTGGATAAATCAAAGCTCAAAGTTTACCTCAGTTTTTAATGGTATGAATGGATAGGCTCTGAATATTATAGAATATTAGGAAACAAAATAATCTTCACGGTCTGGAATTTTATTTCAGTATTTTCTGATCTGGATAAGTTTGGTGAAAATAACTATAGGAGAATAGCGATATATTTCCATACTTCAATCAGAAACCTTATTTTTCTCCCTCTGTCCACCGTTCTACCTTCTATCCTTCCCTCTCTTTACTTCCTCTCCAGGGTTCTTTCTTCCTACCTTGTGTCCTTCCTTCTTTTTTTTTCCCTGCCCTGCCTAGTTAACCACTTTTCCTTCTTTTTTTTCCTGTTTTTCTTTTCCTGTTCCTAGTTCCCTGTCCTTCCTTTTTTCCGATTCTTTTCTTGTATCCCACCTCTGTTCAGTCATTTTTTGTCTTTTCATCTTTATCTGCATCCTTCCTTTCTATGCATCTCTTCAAGTTTTTATTTTTTGCAGTTTCCATTTATAAAGCAGGTTTGATCATTTAAAAAGTGGGAGATATTTACATGAAACATGTATAGGAGCCCTGAGATTACCTCGAAATGATTTACCTCTGTAATTTGAAGTAGTGGAAGTTATTTTCCCACGGCGAACGCTTCTGAAAGCACAACAAATTGCCTTTTATTGATTCTCCATTTTGCCTGCTCCAACGCTATAAAACAGCCGGGATAGAGAATATGTGCCTTGTAAGGTTTTATTTGTCCATTTATTGATTTATTTGATATTTTCCTCGACTCTAAATGTATAAAAGGTGTAAAAGACAGTTTCTGAATGCATTAAAATGATTAGATCTAAAAGACTCAATAATACCAACAGTGGTTTATCGATACGGAGCGGCGTTTGCCCCAGACCAGTAAGACCAGCCACAGTTGCTAACTGGATTAGGGAATAAATGTCCGGAAGCCAAAGCCCAGTTTGTGATTTTATATTTACAACTTAAAACTTGTCTTGTTTGTGTTCTATGTCATGTGTGCATTGTTGTCAGTTAATTTGTTTGCCTTCTAATTAAACCTTTTTTGGAGATATTCATCCCTTCAAGTGCAGCTGTGTTTTTTTTTTATATATGGTTTAGTTTTATTTTCAAAGGGTTCATTTGACATCATCTCTCAGAATAAAAACCAAAATTACAAAAAGAAATTCAAGCAAATACAAATCACAGCAGTGTATATTGATTCCCTCATGTTCCCATCTGTAAAATGAGCTAAAACATAAAGCACAATTATTCCCAGCTCTTCAAGCCGATTAGAAAAATAAAGTTTGCAAAGTAAACATTGGTGGGTTTGAGGTTTTACTCCTCCAGTAGAACTGCAGCTCCTCCCCCCGGCTTCGTCACAAACAAACTTTGTTTTTCCATGGAAGCTCTGCGTGGGTCTGACATGTAGTAGGCCTCTCTGACGGCTTTTAGGAAGCCCGCCGCCTTTTCACTGGGAACCATGGAGACGGCGCAGCCTCCCCAGCCTGCTCCTGTCAACCTAGAGCCGATGGCTCCAGACTTCCTGCATCCAGAAGAAAGAATCAGGATCACAGCAAAGGGTAAAAAAAAAAAACAGCTTTAAACAACATTAATCTGCAGGGAAAATGTTTCATTAAAGCAATGTGAGCGATATGAAGGGTAAAAAAGGCCGTTTTATTGCACTGAAAGACTCCCGGAGTTTAGGACTATTCTGGTGGTTTGCATAGAATGTAGGATTGGGTCAAATCCATGAGTAAAAGCTTAAACCAACAGCTTTATTTAGGTTTGTTTGTGGTAGTAAATTAAGGTGACCAAACGTCCTGTCCCGGGCGTCCCCGGTTTTTTTAGAAAGTGAGGAAATGTCCTGATTTTTTAAATTACCTT